TTATCCATATAATAGAACACATGTTTTTTTTGAGAAAAAGAGAGATAATGATTGACTCGTATTTAATATATAATTAAATTTTATATAATAAGTACAATTTTTTTTTTTGACAGTTTAGAGGTTGGTCTAGGGTTATTTGATAATATCATTTGATGCTTAAAATTGAATATTTTAAACATTTAATGAATTAAATCAATTGAATAACCTAAAAATTATACAATTTAATGTTTTAAATACTTTGTAAAAATAGACTAAACTTTTAAATAGCAAAACTACCTACTTATCACAAGGCCTATTTGTTCATCGGGTCCGGAAGGGGGTTTAAGAAAAATAATTTGATAGACCCTGTAATTCCGTGTTTGGTTAGAACTTTTAAATTTGTAATTCATATATCAGCCCGTAAGTGATCCGATGTATTAAACCCACATATAGGGGGTTGGACAAACCCAAGGGTAGGTGGTTTCATATATCTTAGCCTAGGTTAACTACGTCAAATGACACTTCTATTTCTAATAAAATATCATATCTACCAAATCACATCATAATCCCCCCAATTACTCCTCTATGTAATTAAGCAAATATAGGTGTGGATTGAATTGACAAATAGGTAATATAGTCATTTATAAAACAAATGTGTGTTGATAAAATTTTCTCAATTGACAAATATACCCTCAATACTCACCATGCATAACCACCACAATTACACCATCGCCACTACTATAATCATCATTATTGCCACTGCCACTGTCTNCCACATATAGGGGGTTGGACAAACCCAAGGGTAGGTGGTTTCATATATCTTAGCCTAGGTTAACTATGTCAAATGACACTTCTATTTCTAATAAAATATTATATCTACCAAATCACATCATAATCCCCCCAATTACTCCTCTATGTAATTAAGCAAATATAGGTGTGGATTGAATTGACAAATAGGTAATATAGTCATTTATAAAACAAATGTGTGTTGATAAAATTTTCTCAATTGACAAATATACCCTCAATACTCACCATGCATAACCACCACAATTACACCATCGCCACTACTATAATCATCATTATTGCCACTGCCACTGTCTCCATCACCACCATTATGACGCCACCGCCACCACCACTGTGCTGCCACCACCATCTCCACCGTCACTATCATCACCATTGTGCCGCCACTAGGCCACCACCATTGTACAACCACCATTGCACCACCACCATCACTGCAACCACCATTATGTCATCATCGTCGCCATCGCCATCACCACTATTGTGGTAGGTGGTAATGGTAGGAATAATGTAGTTATAGTAAGATGGTTAAAAAAAGAATGATAAAATTAGAATAATTTCAGCTCTTTATATTTGTTAAATAGTTTGATTCAACTGAATACTTAAATTTCAGTGGATATCAAACAGTCTACAAAGTAAAAAANTGCACCACCACCATCACTGCAACCACCATTATGTCATCATCGCCGCCATCGCCATCACCACTATTGTGGTAGGTGGTAATGGTAGGAATAATGTAGTTATAGTAAGATGGTTAAAAAAAGAATGATAAAATTAGAATAATTTCAGCTCTTTATATTTGTTAAATAGTTTGATTCAACTGAATACTTAAATTTCAGTGGATATCAAACAGTCTACAAATTAAAAAATTGTATTCTCAGCACTTAGAATTTAACATTCAGGTTTCAATTATATCAAGCACCATCTTAAATGATTCTCTCACTCAGAGGCAAACCAAGAAATTAGATTTAGGGTGGACACATTAACAAGTTTTGCTTTTTTTTTTAAATGATCGTAGAAGTTCATAATTTCATATTTACTNTTAAAAAATTGTATTCTCAGCACTTAGAATTTAACATTCAGGTTTCAATTATATCAAGCACCATCTTAAATGATCCTCTCACTCAGAGGCAAACCAAGAAATTAGATTTAGGGTGGACACATTAACAAGTTTTGCTTTTTTTTTTAAATGATCGTAGAAGTTCATAATTTCATATTTACTGAAATTATATTTAATACTTAAAATTTATTAAACACGTGTACACAAAAAATTTAAAAAAATTAATTATAATTTGGTGCCAAGGATGAGACTAATTATTGTCATGTATAATTGGTCAAATAAATTTTTATCTTTTGAAAGCATTACAAATCAATCCTATCAACAAATATTTTTTCTATATGTAAAATTATGGTAATAATCTTCTATTTTTGACTCTATAGCTTCTTACATAAAGACACTAATTTCTATACAATAATAAAATAATTCTATAACTTTAAAAATTATAAAATAACCATAGTATGTTCAAAACTTATTTGAACTTGTCCAAATCGTATCTAAAAATTAAGAATAATATTAGTTTCACCAAATTTGAGATTTAATTGATGGAGACTCAACGACTTTTAACCCTCGGGTGAATAGTAACTTTATTAAACATTGAGACTCAATATTAAACTTAATGTCACAATATATTAGGTACTAAAATTAAATTCCAATAATATTTGGTCAAAAGTTAAGAATCATTTTAGGTGGAGTTTTTATCCTAATCTATACCACAAGAATACGAAAATAGAGTTGTGTATTATATACATTTAATTGTCCCCAGATTATTCAGTAACGACACAATAATAGAAGTTTTATGCACAAGATCATCCTAATTTTTCTTAACAGCCGGCATTTTCCTACAGGTCACGCTTCTAACTTACAAAATGTGAGACAGTCCCCATTAGTTCAGTCCCATCCTTATGCTAATTGATGTAGTGTTTGGTAATCATATGTTTGCCTTTTTTTTTGTTTTTGATTTCACTTTTTGCTAAAAAAAAAAAATAATATGTTTAGAGAATGTTTTTATTCTTTTTTTAGGTTGGTATGTTTTTGTAAACAACCCCAAATTTTAAAAACATCAAAATAGGTGTTTTTAAAAACACAAGAAAACGAAAACACACGTCTCTCTTGATACCATTTAATGAGGTCTAGCTTTCGAACTCCATTAACAGCAAAAAAAGAGTTTTTTTCATTCCACTATAAAAACGTTGTTTACCCATTTTTGCCTATTCTCTCTCTCTCCTCTTTATCTCTCAAACTCTCGTTCATCTCCATAAACAAAGGAGCTCTTAGATCTCAACCAAGCCAGCACTTAGATCTTAGATCTCCAACAACAAAAAGAACTCTCAGATCTCAGATCTCCGACGACAAAAGGAGCTTTCAGATCTCCAGTGACAAAAGAGCAACGAATGAGCTCTCATATCTCAAGCCAACGCTCCATCTCCATCTCCATTAATACATAGAATATACATAGATCTATAAGTTTGGTTGTGGTGGTTGGGATGGGTTGTGCATTCCGATGGTGGGGATTGGATTGGGGGTGGGTTTAGGTGGTTTTGGTTTCGGTGGTGATCTAGGTGGATTTCGGTGGTTGGATTGGGGTTGGGTTTTGATGGTTGTAGTGGTGGATTTCGGTGGTTGTGGTGGTGATGGATTTCAGTGATGGGGTTTCGGTGGTGGGATGGGGTGGTCAGTGGGGTTGGGTGGTGGTTTTGGGTAATTAGTGCCCTTTGTTGGTAAGGTTTGGGTGGTGAATATTTGGTATAATAGCAAACAAATTTTTAATTTTATTTTCACAATTTTTTAGATATAACTGATTACCAAACATGTTCTATATTTTTAATTTTTATCACAAAAAAAAAACAAAATTTTATTCTGTTTTTTTTATAAAAACGAAAACGTTATCAAACACACACTAAGTAATTTCACTTTTTTTTTTTTTTTTGNACCAAACATGTTCTATATTTTTAATTTTTATCACAAAAAAAAAAAAAAATTTATTCTGTTTTTTTTTATAAAAACGAAAACGTTATCAAACACACACTAAGTAATTTCACTTTTTTTTTTTTTTTGGTTTGTTTTGTTTACTAGTTGACCAAATCAGTCTTTTTTATTGTTACTATAATATTTACTTCATGTGTAGGATTAGAGCTTTGTGATTTACTCAAATTCCAGATAATACCCTTATGTTTTCTGTAATTATTTTAATGACGCCTANATTGTTACTGTAATATTTACTTCATGTGTAGGATTAGAGCTTTGTGATTTACTCAAATTCCAGATAATACCCTTATGTTTTCTGTAATTATTTTAATGACGCCTAGCAACATTATTCATATTTTATACTTTAAGAGATGTGACTTTATCAAGAGAAGATAAAAAGTTGTATTAAAGTTGGTTATTAAAAGCATTTTGTATTATATTTAGTCTTATTTCGTATATGTATATAATAGATTCTACCCGTACAATTAAGCCAATTTTAATATCACCTACATATGTGCAATTATAATATAATAAAACTATACAAAATCTTATTTTACTATTTTGCCCTCCAACTAAATAAAAGTATGTATAACTAGATTAGATTTATGATATCTATTGTCTTACCAAATATTTGATTACAATGAATATTATTTTTATCTCATATTTAATGTTATAATTTATTCGTTTATATAGAATTAATCTATATCGACTAATACAATCTTTTCTTTTATTATACGATAATCAAATGAACTTTTATGGATTAAAAATTTTACTTAATTTATTGATCTAATGATATAAAATTTATTATAATAATTTAAATTAATATAAATTTTAGTATTTAATAAGACTCTCAATCAATTCAATAATTATAGTAAATTATTTGAAAAAATTAAATGAATAAAATAGTTTCTACTAGCATTGCTCATAGAATATTTAGCCTTTCCATTTATAGATATCAAACCTCTGTATATCAGCCATTTCAAACACCAAAGCATTCTGACACACTGACACAAATTTTCTCGACTGCTCCTTTTTAATCTTAAACGCGACTATATCGGATTTCCCTGTCCCGCTGGCCGCACCATTTCTTCCACTTCTCTCTGTGAGCAATACTTTCCGAGAAAGCTCAAGAAAACTCCACCATAAGCAAGAAAAGGCCCTTAAGAGGCTGTGTATTGTTACAGTGCCTCTGTGGACAATGGCTGTGTCTAAGAACAAAAGGAAGCAGCAATGCTTCATATCAGTACCATCTCAAATAGTCAACTCTCTCTCCTCAAATTCACTTCAATCACTCCTTCTCTCTCCCAAGAAGAAGAGCTCAAAGGCCAAGCTTTTGAAGAACCCAATGTTCTGGTTTTTCTTCCTATTTGTTTTTGGATTCCTTGATATGTTGAGGTTGTGGTTCCGTTTTGATCCTTTGGTCCCTTTCTCGCAAAACCCATGTTCCATTCCTCAACAAGAGTCCTCAATCTCTGGACAAGAGTCTTCAATCTCAAAATGGTATGCAAGTTCAGAGCTCAATGTTGGACCTAAGAGTGAGAAAAATGGTGAATTTTTGGAGAGAGATGAAGAAGAGAGTGAGTTCTGGAAGCAACCTGATGGGTTGGGTTACAGGCCATGTTTGGAGTTCAGTAAGGAATATAGGAGAGAGAGTATGAAGATTGTGAAGGACAGGACAAAGTATCTGATAGTGGTGGTTTCTGGTGGAATGAATCAGCAGAGGAACCAGATTGTTGATGCAGTGGTGATTGCAAGAATTCTTGGGGCTGCTTTGGTTGTTCCCATCTTACATGTCAATGTCATTTGGGGTGATGAGAGGTTTGTGCAATTACCAAAGTCTTTTGATTTGTTTAGCACGGACACATATGTGTTACTTCTAATGACTTCATTTCTTGTGTCCCAATTTATAAAGTTAGGTACTTTTCGATTCAGCTTAGCAAACACCCATGTTGTATGATAGTGATAAAGCTCTCAGGGCCCAATGTATCAACTTATGCCATTTGATTCAGCATAGCAAACACCCATTGCATATTATTGGTGCACTCAGTGCCCTGAGTTTTGTCAGTCATGTGAAATGGTGAATATTCAATGAGTATTGTGCTTAAGCTTGAATAAATTTGTGTTTTTTTTTATAGTGAGTGATTGGATTAATTGTCTGCATTGTGTAGGAGATAAATTAATTGTTCTAATTTTGGTTTTCTGATGGGTGCAGTGAATTTTCTGATATATTTGATTTGGATCATTTCAAGGAAGTTCTTGCAAATGATGTGAGAGTAGTTTCATCTCTGCCATCTACACATTTGATGACAAGGCCGGTGGAGGAGAAACAGACTCCATTTCATGTGACCCCTCAATGGATCCGTGCACATTACCTAAGAAGGGTAAGAGAAATGCTCTCTTGGTAGGTTGAAGTTACTTTTTTGGCTGTTGACTAAGCTTAAAGATTGGTTTATAGTTATAGAAAATGTGGGAAAGAGATGAGATGCCTTGGTAGCTATTCTCTTCAGAATAAACCATCAATGGCAGTAACTTCATCAAGGGGGTTATGAACTTGGTTGGATGGTTTTTGTTTCTAAAGTGTGTGTTTTTGGTATAGAGTCATTCTTAGAAAATGTCAGCAATTAGCCTTATTTAAACTGCTGTGGAATGGAGATAATTATAGAGTTGGAATTGTTAATCGGAATTTACCTTATATCAAGTGCCATAGAACTGTGAGCCATCCATTTGGATCATTGGCTAAAAATTTTAAGTTTACCATTTTATTGTAATAGCTGAAGGGCTGGGGGGTTTCTGTTTCAACAGTAAACTTTCACTCTGTTATAGTTATGATATTTTCTGCTGGCTAACATGTCCAAAATGATCCTGTTATCAATTTTTCCTGTTATTTCTCATCGTTTTATTTATTATGAGTAGAAGTTCTGAATGCAACATTGATGATAACAAGTGGGTAGTGGGTTCCAAGTGAAGTAAAAAAACTTGTTGATATGATTCTGTTGGTTCCTGCAGCATAGGAGGGATGGTATTTTACTCTTACGTGGTTTAGATTCGAGGCTTTCCAAGGATCTTCCTTCTGACCTTCAAAAGCTTCGGTGCAAGGTATTTTGGGTTTTCTTCTTTCTCAGATTTGATCTGTTTGTCACTTTGTAATTTCCTTTTTCAGTTACCCTTGCACAAATGGTGGAGAAATACTGTGTCTTGATATCTGTTTGGAATCTATAAGTAGCATTTTTTGTGGCCTTATAATCATAATTTGATAACGCCCCTGCTGATGTGGATAGTCCTATGCAACCTGAAGATCAATATTGTTTACTCGACTAACTTTTTTTTGTTAGCCATTACACCATTTAAAAAAAACTCCAAATTTGGCTCTTTCTAATATTGAAAATTTTCATCTAATCTTTGTTTTAATTTGTAGGTGGCATTTCATGCACTCCGGTTTGCTCCATCAATCTTAGAACTTGGAAACAAGCTTACTGAGAGGATACGGAGAAAGGGGCCTTATCTAGCTCTTCATCTGCGAATGGAGAAGGATGTCTGGGTGAGGACAGGATGTCTTCCTGGCTTAAGTCGTGAGTATGATGAGATAATACACAATGAGAGAAAGCAACGGCCAGAGCTTTTAACTTCAAGATCAAACATGACTTACCGTGAGCGAAAGCTTGCTGGTCTGTGCCCCTTAAATGCCTTGGATGTCACACGGTAAGCTTTTGTGCTATTATACTGAGTGCCTTTTGCTGATTGGAATGTTGTTTCATAACTAATTTTCTAAATCATATTGGAATTGTGTGGGAAACATTAATTCTGTGTAGGCTGCTAAAAGCTCTAGGAGCTCCAAAAAATGCGAGAATCTATTGGGCTGGAGGGAATCCATTGGGTGGGAAAGAAGCCTTGCTACCATTGACCCGAGAATTTGCACATTTCTACAACAAGGAAGACCTTGCATTGCCTGGGGAGCTTGAACCACTTTCAAAGAAAGCCTCTTTTATGGCTGCCATTGATTACATAGTTTCAGAGAATAGTGATGTTTTCATGCCATCCCATGGTGGAAATATGGGCCATGCTATCCAGGTATCGCCACCATGCCTCTCATTGTGAACAAATTTCCATACCTGTCAATGATTAATGTTCACTAATTGTATTTCCAAATAAATTCACAAGTTTATGAATCGTAAAATTACTTCTTTTTGTCATAATTGCAGATTTACTTGATTAAACTGTTTTTATGACTTAAAGGGCTGCAACGTTGTGCCTAACAATTTCCAGAAATTTCACCCGTAACCTAGTGCTTGAGGCCTTTTGCCATGAACACTATGGTCTTTTTATTGGCAATTCTAGTTTGTTTGTTTCCGTTGTTCTGTCGTCTGTTGTGTTTCTTTTTTGGATGCTACAACTGTAGAGGGACACATCTATGAAGTGGTTGTATGTCTTGGTCATTAAAAAATTCCTTTTAGTTTGAATACATCAGCACACTTTTGAGTATTGGCTTTTTACATTTTCCAGGATTCCCATATTTCATAGAAGATTTTCTCTCTGAACACTCATCAATCCAAGACTCTATTTTCCAAATGATGTACAAGTAATTTAATCAACTCTGCATTTTATGTAGTTGGTTTTCTTATGTATGTACTTGTTCGTCTGTGATCGTCTTGGTGTTAGAATTTGAAATGGATAGAATAGACATTATTGAAGATAAGCAACTTAACTCTACTCAAGAAAGCATTGTCCCTACTATTTAGGGTTGGCTACCTGAATTATATTCCACCATTATGCTTTATTAAGGATCATATTTTCTATTAAACTGCAAACTTTGATTTCCTTTTTGACTATCTCATGCAAATTTATTGTTGTTGATAAGCTGTTGAGCCTAAAATTGGATAGAGTCTAAATCAGGAAAGTGAATTAGTGTTGTAGTTCACAGCACTACCTTCTCTGCTGGAAGTGTATGTATACAGTTACTTATGAAAATAGATATCTGAATTTTTCCCCGTTGCTACAGTTTCTATGCAGCAGACCTTTTTGTTATCATATTCATTAGTCCGTTGCCGAGCTTGCTTACCTCGTATGAATCTTGATGTCTTTGAATCTTTCCATTTCAGACTGTCTCTGTTCTCGAAGAATACAGGAGAAATTGAAATCTTGAAATCTTCGGAATTTAGCCTTTCCTGTGTTTCCTATTCATCTTCTTGTCAATCAAATGAAGCATTCAATTTGAAAAAAAAAAATGAAATGAAGCATGGACATAAATGTTGTTCTAAGATTAAACTTGTGTTTATGCTACCATTCTAACTAAAATCTTGAAATTATTGTTTATACAGGGGCATAGAGCGTATGCAGGGCACAAAAAGACTATTACGCCAAACAAAAGACAGATGCTCTCGTATTTTCTAAATTCTTCTCTCCCTCAGGCAGAGTTCAATAGGATTATTTTGGATTTGCACCAAGATTCCTTGGGCCAGCCAGATCTCAGGACTAGCAAAACAGGAAGAGATGTTACAAAGTATCCGGTCCCAGAGTGTATGTGCAGCGATTGAATTAAGCATTCCGCCTCCTAAATATATCCCTCAATCTACCCATCAGATCAAATCTTAACTGATTGCCAAGATGAAAGAGCAAATAAGTCTTCTTAACAGCTCCCCATTTAGGGAGGACGATATTGGCAGCATTCATCCTCTAAGTATACTCACATTTTCGGGGTCACATATATTTCTCTACCTCGGCATGTCCAGATACTTGCGTCGAAGATTGATTTCTTATGCAACAACAATTGATATAGATTCATTTTCATGTTTTGAAGAACAAAGACTATTGGGGGAGGGGGAGGGGGAGGAGGGAATTAGAGATATCTTTTTTATTAGGAAATGTACATAAACATATTTTTATACTTCAATTCATTATTTATACGACATCTATGTACCACAGACCAATAAATGCATATAAATAAAGGGTAATTTTCATAGAGAAACTTTTATGGTGGGCTCACTCCTGCATTACATTTATTTTGGAACTTTCCTCTGCTTTTGTAGTTGGTTGCTTTTTATGGTACCTGAAGCACCTGGACTGTCCTATTTTGTCTGTGTCATCTTGCCCACTCAACTATTGGATTTCTCATATTACTCCCTTAACAATTTAAAATAGTTTAACACAGCTCAAAACGCAAGCTTATGTTATCTTTTAGATGAAAATTGTCAACTTGTCGAGGAAAAATGACATGAAGTCATAGTTCAGGGGATAAAGTGAGACAACTTTCTGTCAAATTTTTAACGGACATTAATTAGTACAATAATGTGAAATTAAGAACCATAGTTGAAGGGTAGTATGTGAAAAATATGATAGTTGAGAGGGAAAAATGTGATTAACCCAAACATTAATTTTAAATAGAAGTAATGACACTTTGTGCCCTCAAAGATTTGAGAATTGAGAGGTAGCAAAAGGAAAAGGGGGATACACCAGGCATCTAGCCACTTCATACAGACTTGTAAGAAACACAAGTTCCTTCAATTCCTTATTATCACATCAAGGAAGCTATGGATAGATCACGGTGCTTTAAATGAATCAAAGATCCAACAAATTTAACAGTCAACTTGCAAGCCAAACATCAAACTGCTAAATATAAATCCTGTTACACTTCTAATAGCTCCAACAAAAACTGCTATTTTGTCTAATCCGCCAAGCTGCTATGTCCTTCGCTTATTCTTTTCGTATTCTTATATTTCAATCAAACATGCAGCAATTTGGTTTTGGGACTAGGTGAAATCCATCTAAGTCATAGTAGCATGGAATAGTGATACCAATACTTGATCAAATGGGTTCTTATAAATGAACGTGTTAAAGGCAAGACAAATGCGAGTTGATAGGGAAGTGGGGAACTATAATTGGAGCTCCAGATGGTTTTGATTTGCCTTTGGGTTTTTCCGATGAAGGCGCTTTTGCACTCCAGCCATCGGCATGATCAGAGACCCGAGTCGGGGAAGAAGGAGGCAGAAAGCAATTGAAAATGGATGAAAGCAGTGGCAGTGACATTCTTTTTGGCCTGCTCTTATCACCTAAACAGCTTCGTAAAAGAATGTTTTAGTAGGTGAATTGGTAATAGAGATTATGAGAAAACTCATGAACTGTGAGAATTGAAGCAAAGAGGGTGCTTGNAGAAAGGAGTGGCAGTGACATTCTTTTTGGCCTGCTCTTATCACCTAAACAGCTTCGTAAAAGAATGTTTTAGTAGGTGAATTGGCAATAGAGATTATGAGAAAACTCATGAACTGTGAGAATTGAAGCAAAGAGGGTGCTTGATTTATAATGAAAGAAGGATGGGAGTTTTCTGAGGTACCTTGGGGATGAAGGAAACCATAGGGGCATGTGTTTCAAATCTTCTGGTCTTCTTGGTCAAGTCTAGTGGAATTCTGTGCTGTTTCTTAAGATGGTGGCTGCTTTGACCATCGAATTTTTATTGACCATGAGAAGGAAAACTTTGTCTCCACGCACATCCTCATAAACTCTCACACGTGGGTTGTCTACGAGAACTACATGTCTTGCCTCCGCTTTTTGAGTAAATATTAGGTGGAATAATGCTATCACGTCATTATTGACACGTGGTATCATTATCTAATAATAAATATACACATAAATAAGGTGAATCCATTTAGATGGTTATTAATATGTAAGATTCAACTGTTTATTTATTATCTTTTTACTGAATAGTGACACACGACAAGAAATAAACATTTTAGTGGCGATATTTGTGTTGTCGCTAATTTATTATATCTAGTGGTGATAATATCATTTTTGCCACAGAAACATATCATTTAGTGGCAACCACTAACGTTGTCAATTGTTATGGTGACACATTAATGCAATTTAGTGGCAACCACTAACTTTGTCAATTGTTATGGTGACACATTAATGCGAGCAAAATTTGTAATCTAAGAGTAGGAATGGCAGTGGACCGAAGTGGGAGTGGAGAGTGTAGTCTTTATCCCCGTATCCCCTTAAAAAAACTCAGTTCATCCCTGGTCCACTCCCGTTAACTGGTATAGTTTTCATCCTCATCCCCATCCGCGGGTAAATTTCTAATCCCCGCCCTCGCTTTCCCCGTACCCACCTAAGGTCAAGCTTAAGCCCAAGTAACATAATCTAAAATTCTAAATAAATCTAATATTTTAAATAATCTAACAATATTCTAAATAATCTAATACAACATAATGTAGATTGCAAAATATAAAAGTCAAAACAATATAGTATTCTATTTAAAGTATCATTGGACCACAAAAAGAGAAACGAAACTATTAGAGAGAAAGGAATTAAAGGAAAATAAAATTGAACTAAGAAAACGATAGCACTACAGTTGAAGTTTCCTAGAATAATTATTGTTATTACAATTTATATTACAATCATAAAGTGTTAAAAGATGAAAACTTAAAATTTCGCTAATTCAATAATTATCCTCATTTTTTAGTTTACTCTAGCAGAGAAACTCATCAACCTCTATTCACAATATTTCTATCCACAATGAAATGCAAAATTATCTTACTCTCTCTTATTTTCTTTTAGAGCATGGTCAATCCAAACTGTTAACAACTTTAATCAGTGAGCACAAATAGGAAAAAGAACAATCAGGGAAAAAAGTTGAAAGATTATCATATAGCAATGTCATTTGTTAATTTGATTACCATATTTCTAGATTGGTAGTTACATAACATATGTTTAGTTAGGGCTTGGGAATATATATATATTTAACGGGTAGTGGGACGAGGTGGGGGTAAGGATAAGTTCATCCCCGTTTTCATTCTCGTACGGGTATATGTGGGTATCCCCGTATACGTCCACCGTCCAATTCGTATAGTTCATCCCCGATCTAAACGGGACGAGTTTGGACGAATACACGTTTTTTCCCGGTCCACTATCATCCCTATCTAAGAGTGATAATATTCGATTTGATATTACTGTTAAGAAGTTGAATTCTCAATTTATAAAAAAATATGTTTCAAAAAAAAATTATAAAAGTACAGCAACAAAAGTGATCAAATTTTCATCTATTTTAATCCAATAGTACGAAATTCATTCCAAAATTATTTTTCCCGCTCAAAAACTTCTTCTTTATTGCACGATTCTTAATATCAAATAATTCAATTAACACCAATGGACCTTTGGTCCAATAGTACTCTTTACCTTATGAAAGTTGTACCTTCTTGAGGTCAATGGTTCAAGTCCCCCTCTCCCTCTCCCCTTCCCCATCCCCAAAATAATAATAATAATAATAATTCTCTCAACCATCAATATATTCTCCAATGTAAAACAATTTCATTAATTCACACCGACCTATCTATTTTCTTTCTTCTACCCTTCTGTCTCTCTTATTTTCTTTTTCTTCACTTTAATTTTGAATTATGCACTTTAAAAAAATTACTATTTAACGTATAAATAGTATAAGATCAATGTTCAATTTTTTGTATTACAGAGTGTATTCATGCACGAGATTATTGCTAGTCTATATATTAAGAGAGTTAGAAGTTTGAATCTTATCCCTTTATATTTTTTTATTCATTTATGTCACAAGTTGAATTATTTAATTTTTTATTAATTTGTAGCTTAATACAATTTTTATTTTAGAGATTGTTCAAATTTATATTCTCTCTCTCTCTCTCAAGTTAAAAGAAGATCTTCTCATTTAATAATAAATGCAAACCTTCACAATAACAATTGTAAATCGTAATGTAACATCTATTTTTTTCTTCACAGTAACATCACATTTTTATGCACAGTAACACAACGACTTTAATAAAATTCAGGAGGATATATGTTGCACAGTAACATTAACGAGGTTTTTTTTAACACAATAACATCCATGAAATATTTTTTCCTCAATAGTAGCAATAGTTTTTCTTTACTTTTCACAAAATATGGTCCGCAAATTGAAAAATTACATTATTTAGAATAGTAATACATAACCATCACTTAAATTAGAACACTCATCACCACTTGTGAATGTCAAGACATCTAGTATGTTAAAATAATTTTCTTTTTCCCTCATAGTAACGTCAACTTTTTTCCACAAGTAACACAATAAAACAGTTTTTGATTATATTGCACAACAAAAGATCTAAAAAATTAGAACTTATGTCATTTAATTTAGTAACAATGAATCGCATTTTGAAATTAGGAATGTAAAAAACAATAAAAATTTTGAAAACTTGGAGGCTTCTTCCTCTCTGATGATGTTTTCAATTTTGTTCAATATTTCATATTACTATTTTTTTTTTTTGAGTATAATACTGTTATTATTAAGCATGTTACTATTTTTGTCAAACATGTTACTATTTTTATTCAACATATTACTATTGTTATTTTTTAAAAATATTAATATCGAATGAATAGGATACTATTGTTATTTTTTAAAAATATTAATGTTAAATGTTACTTTTTTATGTTTAAATGTTACTATTTTTTTTGTGTTCAAATGATATTATTTTTTGTTCTTAAATGATAACTTTTTTTTTGTATTTGAATGATACTATTGTTTTATTTTTAATGTTACTATATATATATGAATGAGAGATATATATAGTCCTAACCAATATATGGATATAGATAGATATGAGAGAGAGAAAAATTTAATGTTAGTCAAACTCCTAAAATTTAGGAGTGTTTAGTTTTTAGTTTTACTTCACCTCTAAAGGGAATAGATAATCTGGTAAAATTGATAAAAAACGAACTTCATAATAAATAAGTTTTTTAGGCGGACTTAAGTCCAAACAAGTACATATAA